CGAGTGTACAGGACAAAGCGCCCAAGTCTTACTGGCGGTCAAAAATGGGGTGTCTACACCAAGTAGCCTTGTACAAGGTATGGCACTTCCAAGCAGCTTTGTAGTTTTGTCGAGCAATCTTCTATGAGTTGTGGTACTGCCGAATTGCACATGCATGGGGTCGAACGCTGACTAATTCTTTACAGTGGAGAAATTGTTGAAGTCTAGTAATGTTGTACTCCAAGCAATGAGCTAGGCATGTATAAGCAATGTTGCTCTGTTGAAATGGACCGCCCAGAACCATGATAAATTTTTTGCAGCCGAGATAGGTGGATTGGCAATTCTTCGGCTTACCGAAACACATTGGTTGGCAACTCATTTGATCCTTTCTTGCCGGAACACTTGGTCATCTTGTCCTTTTAGTTTTGTCTTTGCCAAGAGCACTTGTTAGATGTGAGAAGTGCCCAAGTGCCAGGAGTTATTTTAAGTTACATTAAATTAATAATTATGTAAGTTCCAAGAATAATTGATGTAGGTATTTGGGAAAACATATTAAATTAATAATTGTGATAAATAGCAAGTTGAAATTAGCAAAAACAATGTAACTCTTGGAGTCGTCCTTGACATAAAAGTGTTCTTGGCCATTATTGTGGTGCTGAATAATAATGTTTAATCCACTTAAGATACACCAAGACATATATGTGAACTATAAGTTCATGAATTTAGTAGTAGAGATATAGAGCTAGAAGCCAAGAATAGTAATCTCAGATCATGTTACTGAGTGCAAATATATATTACCACGAATCATTATAATAATTCATGGTCTAACTTTGCTAATTTCTCCTGTTGAGAATGTTTTCTAGAGAGAGACAGAGTGCAAACCCAGCCATGGGTCTAACTATGATAATGCCTAAGCTAAACAGGCCATAAAGACTTTTATGTCATAGATACATAAATGCATGCAAATATTAGCAACCCAATAAAAAGCCAGCTAACATTTTATTGATGCTTGGTGTTGAGAAGGGGCATGTAACTCTACTGTTATGTTCATCCATACTAATAAGAAAATATATTATACTCGTAATACTGATTGACTATTATACTTACTACCTAGTTGGCCTCTTGATCGGCAAGTTGGCAACTTCATTGGCTAGCTAACTTCTTTGGTACCTCTTGGTCTTTTATCTTGCCAAAATGCGTGATCAGCAATTGATTTTGTGATATTAACCAATCGGCTGTGTATGTTCGAAATGCCTTTATTACCCTTCATAACTTTATTTATTCCATTGCTTGCCTAACCTCAAGCAAATTGCCGAATTGGGTTGCCGAGTTGCCGAAATGGTCACTGCAATTTTTCTTGACAAACTGAAATGAGCATCTAAAAAAGAGGTTGCCACAAGGATCAAGTTGATAAATAAATTTATATGCAAAGACTAAAAAACATGAGTTAATTGTTAGAGAGAGAAAACAGCGAAATGGCCCCTTGAGTTTCTTTCTATGTATCTGATTATAAAATCCATAGCACATGGAGTGCTTGGCCTAGAAAGCCAAGCTTTTATTCTGCTGATGCAAATCACATTAAAATATAAATAAACTTGCAATAAATTAGTGCAAAAGAAGAATGGTGTGTATTTATCATTTTCTTTGTTGAATTCTCAAACGTTTCCCATAAACAGCCAATTGTGATGCCTAGAAAATCCTCTCACATGGATTGTTGAAGAGATCCAACGAATAGCTGAGCTCGACCTCTCTAGATCTGCAAGGATGAACATAGTCGACGCCACCCAATCGGGGTTGCCGGCCGGAGACACTCCGATGATAAAGTTAGTCATTGAATCAATGAAAGAAGAAGATGTGGAAATGAATGGGTGTGTGTGTGTGTTCTGTTGTAGAGAAGATTTCCTCATCTATGGCATTGGTTTGCATCGAGAGCTCCTTCATTTGTGTCTACAATTGTTAGTCAATTATCGATTAATTAGCCACCAATAAAATTTATATTAACAAAACACTACAACAAAAGAATGTCTACTAAACTTAAAACTACATATCATGACCCCAACAACTCTATTATTACTTGGTATGTCATCCTTCAAGTACCCAGCCATCCACACCTCTGAGCAAGTTGCACGAACTCCATTCTTCTAATTTGTTTGCTACAATTACTATTAAAATTAACTAACAAAATCAAAATATACAATTTGAATTTGTAATATAAAGAAACTATATACCTCTACTCAAATAATTGATAATGGCTTTCTGCCTGTTATGTGATTTATTGTCTTCTTTCCCCAAATTTCTTTATTTTTTGTAATTTTTTTCCAATTTCATATGAATACAAACACAATATAATTTATTAATGAACAAAATAGACACAAGGCACAAAATAATTTACCTTTTTTTTAATACTTGTGCCTTCTGATTGCCCCAATAATAGACCAAGTTTCGCCACTAATGCTCATGTACTCTTTCGGGTTAACATACTAGTGGTTTATCTTGTTTGGAGCTAAGAGAGGCTTAAATTACTCAATATCTATGTCACCTTGGTTAAAGCCAAGATGAAGTCAGAGACCAATCATGGATGTTAGCACCCCGTTCTCATGCTGTGCCTATTATGATTAGCCAGATATGAGATCTCATTTAGCGCTTAGAAGGTAAGTAAATAGAGAATTAGGGTTAAGTGCTAGAAAGTGACTTGTGCGCTTAAGAGTGATTAGACTAAAATCTGTACGGTGTATAGAGTATGGCATCACTATTTGGAAGAGTAACTCCACTGTGGCATATATTCATACTACATGCACTTATATATTGACCCAGTGATGAGGTGAAAGAATGGATCCATATTTCCTCACCATGTGAGTCTTACACATCATTATTGATATGACTTTTACTTTTTTTACTGTTTGTGACCTTTGACTATGTCATAAGGTAAAGAGTTGATATTAGCTACTTTAGTATGTTTCCTGCAGTCAAGTATAATTCAGGATTAAGGGATATTACTCAAAAAACGGTCAATCCTAAACTAAATGGCATAAGGATGAATGAAATATCATCAAGTATTACACTTCTGAAGTGTATTCATTGCCGGCAACTCAAATCGTTATATATGGAAGGTGAATTGAGCGTGAATATATTGCATGATATGATAAGGTCAAATATGCTCTGTTAAGGGTTAGGGATGTTTGGACCGTTGTAATTGGATAGGTGTAGGTTATACGAGGCACTATTTTTATTTTAGATTGATGTCTCTATGTTGGCTCTGTTTGTGTTTCTAGTACAGAGCTTCCACATGCAGGTGTTCTTAGCAATTGCATGGTTCATTAGCAAATATGAGCTTGTTCGATGTTTGGGCATATCGAGATTGAAATTGAGATGTGGCAATGTCATGCGAACCCATGTGTGAGTGGGAGAGTTGGAAATCGAATTGAGTTTTAGACTCGAGTTTGGACGCCAATGGTGGCATGACCCATGAGTACACATCTAATTTGATTTACCTTTTTCTTGGGGATAAAAATATGAACCCTAACAACCCCATCTCATAAGAAGATAGAGATATAGGTGATTACATATCTCTCATATATATAATATCATACATGACGTATTATTCAGGTGCAAGTTTTAACTAAAAAATATTTTTGCAAGACTCTCTAACTCTCTACCATTGGAGAACAAACCATGCATTTGTATCGTGAATACTATGGGTAATTCTCTAGTAGTTGTTCTACCCCACTACTAGAAATAGTTCAAGTTCATCATTTGAGGCTCGTGATTCACTTATATCATCTATGAATTTGGTTTGAACATAAAAAGTATGCCCAAATCCAATTATTTCTGCTACGTATTATTTTGGGGGATTTCGTTAATAAAATTTTAATACATTAAGGACAAGTACAAAAAGTTTTCCTTGAAAAGTCCAGCACATATCACTATTATCAAAATATTAAACTTTAAAATAATATAACTTTTGATGTAGATGTTGATTTTTAATAAAATTAGTATTTTTAAAATCCACTCATCAAGATCTATCAAATAAGATCGATGTTAACTATAAAATTCTTTATAAAAATATATATATATATATATATATTACCATCGAAATTGATGTAAACAGTAACAGTAACATGTTACTCTATCTCACAGTAACATATTACTCTGTTTGACAATTACTCTGTTTAACAGTAACATATTACTCTGTCTCATAATAACATGTTACTCTGACAATATTGTCCAAAGAAAAAAAAAAAGAAGATATTTTACTTTGTCCTTGCATAATTATGTGTTTTTTTCCTTACGAGGTTTATAAAGTAAAATAAATTGAGGTGTACTTTTCACCCAATAAGAATCCCAATGAAGAAATTTTGGCTAAATTTTCCTATTATTTTTCCTACATATATGGAATATACATGTAAAATTAAACTACTAAAATGCTAGCAATAACCAATATGTACGGTGTTGTATATATTTCATAATAAAAATGTTACAAATTTTAAAAGTTTTACTAAAATTTTTATCAAATGTCTTAAATGAGTATGGGACCCACACCATGTGAGTCTCATGTGGATCCCACATTCATGTGAAACCATTGATAAAAATTTTGATAGAACTTTTGAAATCTCTACTATTACTCATTGGATAATATAAACGAAATATAATTGTAGGGATAAGGTCTCTGAAAAGTTAAAATATATTAGATATGACATCTGGTGAGTAAAATCTTTGGTAATTGCATCTAGTGGGATTTTAAAAAGAAAAAAAAAATTACGTATTCATAAAAAAATAATTATAATTATAATTATTAATATTTATAAAATTTTTCACTTATTTATTATTATTTTTTTAAAATTACATTGATTTGATATTTCGCCTAAAATCTTTCCAATAAGAATATCCATTTGACTTATAGAAAACAAGTCTAGTAGAGGCGATTTACTATCAAATTTCCCAAAAATAAAAGAAGAAAGAAAAAGAAATGTTGGTGATATGTGGCTTGTACGAAAAGGACCACACTGGACAGTGGTTAGAATAAAATTGAAATAGACGTTACCCCTGTTTTTGTCTCCTTTCTTTCCATGCTCTCTGCTCTCACCATTCACGGAAAAAAAACAATAGAAAAACTCCACAGATTTCCACAACCTAGACACTCAACATTTTATAGGTATATATGCTCTCTCTTTCTCTCTGCAACAGCATTATTGTTGGTTTGATTTTTTTTCATGTTTACTATAGTATGTCAGAATTCGGTTTCTGGGTTGCTTGATTTTTTCCAAATTTGTTTGATAAACTTCTGATCTTATTTATAAATCAGGAATTTTCTTCCTTTATTTCTTCCAAATCAAAGTGTGTGAGAGAGAGAGAGAGGTGTAATTGCTACTTCCCCAAGTCCCATGGAGGTCAGACATAGGCCAATGTGAGTTTCTTCTCTATTTTCTGTGAGCTTCTTCTCTGTTTGGTGTCATTTTTGTTAGGACTAAGCAAGGAATCCAAAAAATCTGCAAATCGAACCAATCCCGTCCAATCTAGTAGGTTTGGTATGATTTTTTTTAATCCGTGGTTCAATTCTAGTTTGGAAAATTGGAGAACCAGTCTCCCTGGATCGGTTTCGGATTTAAGTCCATGGTTCTGGATTAGAACCGAACCGGACCGGACCATATATAATTTATGTCATATACCTGATGCATACAATCCTACCCTATTATGTATAAACCACCTTATGCATACAATCCTACTCTCTTATATATAAACCAAATCGAAATTCATATCATTTCAGTTTTCTCTTCTCTTCTCTATGCCTCTAGAACTGATTTTTTAATTATTAGCATAATTTAGTTTTGTAATTGCTGTTGATACAACAATTTTTATTTGATGGGAGTTTTATGCTTGTTACATGTTGAACAATTATGCTTATTTACTAGATATTATATTTTTTTAAGTTAATAGTAGAATAATGTATTTATGTTTCGAAAAATCATAAGTAGTTTAATGTTGAAGAATGTTTGCTTGATACTAGTTTGTTTGATGAATGTTATATGATTTTTCTTGTGAACATATTATGTCAAACCATGGTTTCAAACCGAATTGAACTGTGTTTAAATGATTTGGTTCGGATTGGTTTCATGATATAAATGGATTGGTTTGGTTTCAATTTCTATGGAACCGTAGACAACGAATTGGTAATGATTTATCCCAAACCGAACCAATCCGGGCCCTGCTCGCCCCTAATTTTTGTTTTTCTATTTCATTTTTCATAAAAGCTTGAAAATACCCATCATTTTCACATCGTTTTTATTATTGTGTGAAATAAAATTTTAAAAATGTGATTTATTTTTATATTTTTAAAAGTGATTATTTTTAAAAATATATATTTTGTTTCCAAAAGTAGTTTTCGGAAACACTTTCACCCATTTTCAGAAGCCAAGCTATAATTTGGTGAAGAAACTAGTTTGTTTTGGAGTAGTATATCTTTCTGTCTTTTTGCTTGCATTGTGTCTTGAAGTCCCCGTTTAGGCCACTGTATATTTTTCTATGGATTTGAATAGTATGGAGGAGACGCCAAAACTTTTTCCAATTGAATGGAATCCTCAAAAGCAGAACTCAAAAGTAGGAAGTTTTTAATATATGGTGAGTTTTGTGTCATCTTAGTCCTTAATGTTTAAGTCGTGTCAATTTAATCCTCAATGTATAAAAGTATTTCGATTTGGTCGTCAATGTTTAAATTGTGTCAATTTAGTCCCCAATCTATGAAAAGTGTTTTAATTTAGTCATTTAATTTTCTATTAATGGAGTTAGATTGAGGGATCAAATTGAAGCATTTTTTTATACATCAGGGACGAAATTGAAATAATTTTATACATTGAGATCAAATTGATATAATTTAAATATTAAGAACCAAAACTACAGAAGACCCGAACTATAGGGATGAAAAATTGTAATTAACCCATATATGGTTATGGTTATGGCTTCACTATCTATCACCAACTGCACTTTCTTGGTCCAGAAGCATTATTCAACAACTAAACTTGAGTAGTGTTTGGTGTATGAAGGCCTGAGAGAAACAAAAATGATCTGGACAGCTACACATTTTTTATCCAAACATTTATTGATTGATTATTATATAACATTTTTGAAATCGTTGGTTATCCGTGATCGATCATTTGAAATGACAAAAAATTCTTTTCGTGAAAATAATCATAATCTAATAATATATATATACAAAGAATTAGTCACATAAAAAATTCACCAAATACTCAAATTTGTGTGGTTGAATGAAACCATCCAAAAGCAATCTCACATGGAAGATACATGTTCTTAGAATTTCTTACACTGACCAAGATATTGATGTCGTGATTTAGCATACATGTAAGAATCATGAATCATTTGTAATTTAGTAAGTACATATACAGAACAAGTAAAATAGTTATTCACTAAAGTAATCTAGCTGGTCAGCGAATATGTATGCATCAGTCACAGTATCAGTTGTGTGCTTGACCACTCCAATATCTGAGTGAATTGACCCTACTAAGCTGCTAACTATATGTTATAGTCATCTATGTCAGCAGTCCAAATCCAATTTTAACTGTGAACTAAAATCGATGATCAAGAACCCATATGTATGCCCTATGCCATATACTATGATCATCTAAAATTCGATCTCGAGGAATCATCAACACAGTTAATACTTGTGCATTGAAATAATGCAATCATCATATTCATAATTTGTCAAAATAATCAATAAAAAAAAAGTGTAAATGAATGCCTTTAACGGCATAAATACCCAAAACCAGTTTTATAATTCCAAAATAATATAAGCAATCCATTGAAATATTTTGTTACTGGAATTACTTCAATTCCTTAATGGCTATGTTTTTAGTTTTATTTTTTTGTGTTTATGTACTAAATATGTTCATAAAAGCCACTTTATTACATCAGCAAAGACATATACCAAAGGAAGTTCCCAGGAAGTAAAGACAGAGATTTTGAGAGGCCTTTCCATATTGCTATCCAAGATAAGAATGCCAAATCCAAGTTTCATTCTCCTTTGAAACTAGCCCTAGTTATCCTTCTATTTGGAAATTTATTGGCACTTCTCTACTCTCAAAATGTTTGCCATCGCAACCATGTTTCACATGCTGTTCCTCTGTAAGTCCTACCTCCTATTTCATTTTTTTACTAGATTCTTCATTACATGGCTACTCTTTGAATCCAGAAGAACATTTTTTGACAAAAAAGTAACTATACAAAGTGTTATTGGTTTAATGCCAAGCTTCTTTAACATGGCCAAGTTTTGTGAACAGGTGGATATGGAGTGGATTGGATTCACGATACATATCCCATTTGGACATTGATTGGGATGAAATTGCAAAAGTCATAGGGACAATGTCTGATGAGAATGAAGTCCAAGAGATTGGCCTTTTAAATTTTAATAAAAATGAAATCAATCATTGGAAACAACTTATTCCCGATGCAGAGCATATTGTTTTGCAACTAGACTATGTCGAGAAAAATGTGACGTGGGATACCTTGTACCCAGAATGGATTGATGAAGAGCAGGAAGAGGAAGTTCCCATTTGTCCTTATTTTCCAAAGATTGACATGCCTAGAAAACGGCTTGATCTCATTGCAGTTAAGCTTCCTTGTAGAGATGATGTGAATTGGTCTAGAGATGTGGCCCGGTTGCATTTACAGCTTACGACTGCTGAGCTAGCAGCTGCTTCCAAAGGCTATCATCCGCTGCATTTGCTCTTTGTCACAAAATGTTTTCCAATACCAAATCTATTCACCTGTAAGGAACTTGTTTTGCACCAAGGCAATGCATGGTTGTACAAACCAAACTTGAATGTGTTGAGGGACAAAACCCAGCTCCCTGTTGGTTCATGTGAACTTGCACTTCCATTCAAACCAAAAGGTTTAGTTTTCACCTACTTCTCTTACATTAGTTTATTCCTGCCCTCAACATGAGCTCTAGTGACTCTTTCTCTGATTTTGCACAAAACTATACGCTTTGATGTTGCATACCCTAACTTAAATTTTCCATACAAGTTGAATTTTTTTTATGCCCAAGTAGCAGAGGCTCTACATGGCTTTATTAGAAGTATTGAGCGAAATGTATTTGAAATCAAATGATGCGATCATAATTTTTTTTTTTTTTAATCATTAGCAAAAGCCTTAAACCTCAATGATAGGCATGATTTGACATTGTTACACTCAAATGTTTAATATTTTATTTATAGTATTGATAATTTTTGTTTTGTGTGTGTGTGGGGGGTTGTAAAAATAGCATTGACCAAAGATTACAACAGCATTGACCAAAGATTGATTTAACAAATTTGCCAATACATATCGATCAATAAAGTTAAGGAGCCAATTTACAAGGAAATATTAGTGAGTATATCCAAGCTAGAGACACCGTTTTTTAGAACCATGGGAAGTACATAAAAATTAGGTTTTATAAGGGCTCATTAAGTGACCTATTTCTACCAATCTAATTTAAAAAAATTAACTTGAGAAAGTAGGTGTCCTGCCTTTGTGTTTTATGATCATTTTATTTACTATATACTGTTGGAATGTGTCCCATTTGGGGTGGTTATAAAGCTTCAGTTTCTCTTTCCTTAACACTTGGGTTTTAAGGAGAAGTATGTACTGGGCTTTTCAATTTGGTACCAGAGTTTAGTTGGGTCTGTGACTAGTGTGCTGTTTGTCTGGCTACTGTATATGTGTTGGAATGTGTCCTACATTGCCTACAGTTGTCCCATCTGTGCTAGTTATAAGGCTAAGTTAGTTTTACTTATTCCAATTCAATAGTAAGCACTGATACAAAATCTCTTGAAAACAGAACATGGCTACTCTGGAAATGTGTATCGGGAGGCATATGCAACAATCTTGCATTCTGCTGACGTATATGTGTGTGGAGCCATAGCTGCAGCTCAAAGCATCCGCATGGCAGGATCCACACGAGACCTTGTTATACTTGTCGATGAAACAATCAGTGGGTATCATAGGAGTGGACTTGAGGCTGCAGGATGGAAAGTCCGGGAAATCCAGAGGATAAGAAACCCAAAAGCTGAAAAAGATGCCTATAATGAATGGAATTACAGCAAGTTCCGATTATGGCAGTTGACAGATTACAACAAGATCATCTTCATCGATGCCGATATGCTTATACTTAGAAACATTGACTTCTTATTTAGCATGCCTGAAATTTCTGCAACAGGAAATGACGCAACACTTTTTAACTCGGGTGTGATGGTGGTAGAGCCATCAAACTGCACATACCAGCTTTTAATGGATCACATCGACAAGATTGTGTCCTATAATGGGGGAGACCAAGGATACTTGAATGAAATCTTTACTTGGTGGCATCGGATTCCAAAGCACATGAACTTCTTGAAGCATTTTTGGGACAGAGACGATGAAGAAGAGAAACAGATCAAAACTGGGCTTTTTGGAGCTGAGCCTCCCATTCTTTATGTCGTCCACTATCTGGGTCAAAAGCCATGGCTGTGCTTCCGGGACTACGACTGCAATTGGAATGTGGATATTTTACAAGAATTTGCAAGTGATGTTGCCCATTGGAGATGGTGGCAAGTGCATGACTCAATGTCAGAGTTACTGCAACAGTTTTGCCTGTTGAAAACAACTCACAAGGCACAATTGCAGTGGGATCGGATGCAAGCCCAAAAGGCAAACTACACCGATGGGCATTGGGAAATTAAAATCCGTGATAGGCGTCTCAAGAGGTGCATTGACAACTATTGCTCCTGGAAAAACATGTTAAAGCATTGGGGTGAGGAAAATTCCACAGAAAATGAATTTGTACACCGACCCCGCGTACCATAAAAATTTACAATGGAAACAAGTCTACCAACATAGAAATCCAATAAAGAATTCAGAAACACAATATACATGCATTTTCTTGAAGTGGGCCCTGCCAACAAATCTTGAGTGACAAAAGTGTGTTCGTATTTACTTATGATTTTGTGTTCTTAATGCAAGAAGTTCTTGTAGAGCCATTTTGATATGGGTATGAGTAGGTGTTATTCTGCCTTTGATTTTTCGAGGCTAACCTATTTACAAGTATGTGTACTGCAAAATTAGGATTGCAGGTCTCTGTGTAGGAGAAATTATCCTTTCTTTTGCTCATGCTTTATAGAAAATTCCCTTGATTTTCTCCTGCTTTATATCAGTCTTAATTATCATCAGGTTCTAGTGGGAACTACATTGTTCATAGTTAACAAGCATTATATAGAGGTATCAAGGTGACTTTGATGGTGGAATTAGGGAGGGGGGAGTACAACATAGCCATAGGTGATCTTGATGACTAACCTTCATAACAGATTCTAACAAAACTAACCTGGTTATGCAACAGATTCTATTTATGTAAGCTATGTTTGGTTTGGGGGGACAATGGATATGGGATGTTCACGTTGTGCCTCAGAGGCAGAACACACAAACACATAAGCAAGAACACACAAAGATTTACATGGTTCAGCAAATCGCCTACATTCACGGGCAGCGGATTTCACTATATGGACAGAAGTACAATATTACAACAATGGAGGAGGAGGAGACACTACTCTCACTCAACTCTTGCTCATTCTCTCTTGTTGCTTACACTGTGTAATTCTCACACTCTCTGATTTCACCACACCAAACTCTTCCCATTCACTACCCATTTATAGATGCAATGGGAGAGCCAAGCCGCCGACAACATTAAAGGCAGCCACCAACAAGATCAGCCACCCTACCATGAGTAGCTCGCTTGGATCCCTAGATTATTCATTTTTCTTCAATCAGCAACCATTATTGACAAAGAAAATCTGAGTCAATCTTCAACAGTTCGAAACTGCCATTCTCACAAAATTGGACCAATGGCACCTCGAAGGCAACCAGAGGTCCAAAAAAGGTTGATTGATTTTTTAGGAGTCACACCTGATTGCAAGTCTTGGGAAAACAATTATTTTAGCCTTCAATAATAGACACTTGTCCCGTCACTACCCAAAGAAATGAGTTCATGAACTAAGTCATTACCCAAAGAAATGAGTTCACGAACTAAGTTACTAGGCGGGAAGGTCTTAAGCATCCACTTACTAAGCATGATCGTTGGATTGAAATTAAACTTAGAAAAAAATTAACCAATTATTCGCAATATGAGTATATAAGCAATTAATCAAAGCAATTAAACTAACTATTACAACATGAATAATAAGAGAAATGGAAGTAAAGAGGGAATAAAGAAAACTTGAGCAAATATGTTTGTACTAAACAATACAAGACATTAGGACACATGGATGCCTATCATGCTTCTAATCATTCTAGACTACTTATACACCATACAGTGAATGAAATCTAGCAATAAAGGGATGAAAACAGTGAGCAAATCATGATTTTCATGTCATGAAAACAAAGGGAATTAATGTAAGGGGATTTCTTGATTTGTTACTTATAATGCAAGACTATATTTCTAAGTTAGTAGCTAGCAGCAGCAATAAAGGTGGAAAACAGTAGGTTTAATACACTGAAAAGCAAAGAGAAACCATTATAAAGCCTTAACAAACTCAACCCTATTCTAAGGCCTTTATCTGTTACTAACAAGCTAATCCTTCTCAACTTTCTATTCCTTTTCTGATTGATCGAGGGAGACCCGAGGCAAAAATTATCGGGTGATTCAGGAATTCTAGTATAGCCATTATATCCATCCATCCAGTTACATGTCGTGATGTGGATTTGGTCCTTTTTTTGGGGGTGAAATAATGTTCACATACTTCCTTGTTATTGGATGAACACATGACTTCAAACTTGTTTCAATGTTGACATGTTTTGTTTGTGTTTTTTATTTTTGTATCGTTTTGGATCTGTGGGTGAATGTAACCATGGTTGTGTTTGGAAAGAACAAAAGAAAATATTTTTGGGGACTTCAGGTTTACATTGTAGATTTTCATCATAATTTGGTTTTTGAGTTGAAATTTCACCTCCGTTTGGGAAGTGAGTTGGCTTTTTGGCTTTTTGACTTTTTTGGCTATTTTAGCCTGGGCTAAAAAGCTTGGTTTGGGAATGACTTTTTAGCTTTTTTGACTTTTTTTGTGAGAGAAGAATGTAATGACTATGGGTTGGATGTGATGTTTTATTTTTTGTGGCTAAAATAGCCTATTTTGTCTTTTGTGGCTAAAATAGCCAAAAAAGCCCAGAAAAGCCCTTCCCAAACGGACCTATTAGTTTATCCTTTCAAATTTGGTATTTTCAATAATGGCAAACCAAATAAATATTGTGTCATTTTTTATTTTTTAATTTGGCTAGAGTTTTGAAGGAATTTATGAAGAATGAGAAAAAAAACCCAAAAAAAAATAAAATTAAAGGTATTAAAAAAATTGACGTTTTGTATTTTATTTTTGAGCAATGCTACGTACCTCGAATTTGATCTTGGTTCGAGTGGCTCAAATTTCATGTTGTCGGTCATTCGGCCGGTCGTCCGGGGAAAAGACTAACAGTCGCAGTCGACAAGGTAACAACCGCAGTAGACAGGTGCTTCACCCGGTCGTCTGGGTGGTCGTCCGGTGAACACAAATTCGCACCATTCACACCTAAAGCTCTCGAGGCCTAAAACATTTTTGTTTATTTTTTTGGGTTCCTAAGCACAGTAGCATTGAGTTTACCTTTCAAAACTATGTTTATGTTTAGATAATAATAATAGTAATACTAACAATAATGATAATCGGATTTTTTTTTAAGATTCTTGCTATTAAGATTTTATAAGATAAATGAAATATAATATTTTCATAATAGTTAAGGTCTCTCAACATTTTCATAGAGAAAATTCGGTTTAGAAAAATTTTGTTCAACTTAGAGAAATTTGGCCCAAACTCAAGAGAGGTTTTTTGAAAATTTCTTAGAGGTATTTTGAGATTTTTTTGTGAAATTAAAATTTCTCTGAGTCGAGTTCGAGATTTTTCTAAGTTGGGCGAAATTTCTTTAAGTCAAATTTTCTCTGTGAAAATATTGAAAGACCTTAGCTAATTAAAAAAAATATCTTGGATATCTCCTATTACAGAAAGTTGGAGAGGAATGTTTCACTAATTTTCTCTAATAATAATAATAATTTAAAAATAAAAGTGGAAAAAATGAGAAATTAGAAAATGAAAGAAAAAAAAAAACTTCAGGGTTTTACTATTAAATAAAATCCCTCTCTCTCTCCCTCTCTCTCTCTCACACACACAGATACAGAGCAAGAAGAAGAAGAAGATGATGTCAAAAATGGATGTATGTGGTATTATTGGAAGAGCAATAGCTTATAAATGTCTATTAAAAGTTACTAATAATCCTCAATCCTCATTTGTTTTGCTTCGTTCACTCTCTACAAGCCCTAGATCTTCTTCTGTAACAAGAAATGAACAAGGCAATTCGGATCTCCACGATGCTGTTTATTTAATAACATGCTCCAAATGCAACCTTTGCCCCTAACTTCTGACTTCAACAAAGCTTTAGGGACTATTACGAAAATGGGTCATTGCACCACAACTCTTTCTCTTATGAATAAAGTTGCAGGGCATTCGGGCAATGTTTTCAAAACCAGACTGGTGAGCAAACCGAAAAAAGAGACCGGGCGGACGGGTTATTGGTTCAACCGTCGGGTAAAGCGGTCGGACCGTGACGTCATAATTAATATTATATAATTAAAAAATATAACTATAAATTAAAAATAAATAAAAATATATATAAATAATCAAATAAAAATAAAAATTGTTACATAGTATTTATTAATAATATTTAATAAAGTCATAATTGATATAAAAAAAAAAAGTCACTTATTTTAAAAAAATTAAATTTTTTAAACATTCATTCCAAATAAATTGATTGAATGCTAGATTTAATTTTGGAAGGAAATGAAATTTTCAACTCTCTCTCCAATCAATATGTTTCAAATAATTTGATTGAATCCCACATAGAATTCTGTACATTTTCTTTGAAAAATCTTTTCCTATAAATAGGAATAGACTTTCATAATCTTCTTAAGCTTTCAATGAGACTCTTCCTTATGAGAGGAAACTCTTGAAATAAGAATTTTTAGTCAAAATTTTAAAATATATTTATATATACCAGGCCAACCATCTTGGTTTTAGGTTAGAAAAGATTCTAAAAACTCAAATTCTTGAAAATCTCTCTCTCTCTCTCTCTCTATCTTGCAACCTACACACTCTCTCTCTACATTTTCTAAACCAATATTGGAGCTCTCATTACTGAGATTATTGAGTCTAAATTTCTGCCCTTGGGAGTGAGAACTTGTGGGTTTGTTAAGAAAAGAGTTACCTTGCTTCAAGAGGTATAATTTTGAGCATCTTTGTGCTAGTTGTTTTCTATCTTTTCTTGTTGATTTTGAACTATTTTTACACTATTTTTATGGGCTTAAGCTTGTGGTTTAGAGCTACCAAAGGTGGAGGGGTTAACCACCCTTCTTTGAACCTTGTTCTCCAAGTTTTGCTATTAGTTTTCAGAGTTTTCCAAAGGTTAAAATTCATTTTTGAAGTCCCAAAAATGGAGGGTGTTAGCCTCCCCTCCTTGTACTTGTTTCCTAGCTTAATTGCTCCATGTTTTAAGTTTACTCTTTTAGCTATTTTTCCTTTAATTCTAGCACTGTTTTAGCGTAAATTAGGATTGTTTTTGAGAGTTAGCTTCATTTATGCTCTGTATTGCATACTTGTTGTGTAATGGTCCTTATAGGTGTAGACACCCCATTTTTGACCGACCTTAAGACTCAGACGTCATCGATTGAGCGCTCGATATTTGCGCATGTTGTGCTCATTTTGAGGTTTCAGAATTCTCGGCTGAGAGCCTTGCCTTTGGACCTCGGGACTCTTTTGTGCTTTACCTCAGTTTGCAAACCAGGTTCTATTTTCTCTTCCCGAAGGGAGGGAGAGGCCTCGTAGACCATCTCTCAGTGGCCGTAGGCTACTTTTCGTGGTCGTAGACCACTGTTCCTGTTTGGAGACCAGTTTTCAGTTTTTAGAGCCGTCGGCCGTACGCCTCGGTTCGAGACTGCTTAACTTTCTCCGTTTGGCACGGTTTTTGGAGAGCTTGAACCTTTTGAACCTTTCAGAGGCACTTCTTTCTTGAGGAAGCTTGAACCTTTTGA